CACACACAGAAGACACGTATACGCTTTACAGAATCATATATATATATATATATATGCGTGTGTGCGTGCGTGCGTGCGTGCGTGCGTGTGTGCGTGCGTGTACATAACGTAAGCGGAGCCGTCGTTAAATGTTACGCTCGGGTTACCGCTACTAAAATTCCGCCCCGCGTGTAATAATGAACCAGCCCATCATGTGTTGCCAATAAATTTCTCTAAACTTCACTCGCTACGCTTCGATCACTCGCATCTGTGGGGGGAAGGGCGTATAAGGATGTAGGAGAAGCGGGCATGTATGTAAGGAAATGGGTCTGTATCTAAGGTAGGGGGTCTGTATATAAAGAAAGGGGTCTGTATTTAAGGTAGGGGGTCTGTATATAAAGAAAGGGGTCTGTATTTAAGGGAGGGAGTCTGTATAAGGGATGGGGTCTGTGTGTACGGCATGGGATCTGTATGTAGAGAGGGTGTCTGTAAGTAGGGGAATGGGTCACTAGGTGTTACACTAGGAACGCTGTGTTTCCTCAGCGGCTGAAAATAAAACCCTCCGTACAACATGCGTTCCGCCGCCTGCACCTGAGCAATTAAGATGAACGGGCTCGCACGGATAATGGCTTCATCAGTAATATGAGTTCGTCTATAAGCATGGTTTTATGTTATAACGTTGCGGTTTTATCTGTGGCGATGGCTTCATCTGTGAGCGGGGCTTCATTTCCTAGCGTGGCTTCATTTCCTATCGTGGTTTCATTTCCTATCGTGGTTTCATTTCCTATCGTGGTTTTATTCCTCACAATTGTTTCATCGCCGAATATGGTTCCATTTGGAAGTATTGCTTAATCTCTTGAGTATTGCCTTATCCTAGAGTATGGCGTTGTCTGTATAAGCATAACTTCAGCACGGAACATTGCTTCATATCTGTGTAAAGCATCATCTCTGACTGTGGCTTCATCTGTGAACATAAGTTTCATCTAAGAATGGCTTTCTCACGGAGCGTGGCTCCATCTCGGCTCGACCCCGCAGCGTCCGGCTGCATGAAGACAGTCCTGCGTTTGGATTCGCGATGTTCGTAAGATGCTCGCGGATGAAGAGGCTGCGAGCAGACGGCAGCGGCGGCAGCGTCGACGACGAGCGAGAGGGTCGCGTTGGCTGCCGGCCATTTTTCTCTCCGTGCGTCTTATTACGTTTCGTTACGAAAACTCTTCGCAAATAACGGCGTGCCCGCGCGCGGCTTCGGCGCGCAATGTGACCCCGGAGACCGGCGGGTCATGCGCTGCGTCGGCGAAAATGCGCTTGCCGATGCCATTTGTTTTCATTTCGGCTGCTTTTCGTCCATTAGGCGGTCGCTCGCCGAGTGCCGACGGTGCATATCTAGGACCTAATCAGCGGCATTTGTCTTAATCAGCGACGGATTAATAAATGCCGGGATACGTACGTAGCGCGCCGCAGCGGCAGCAGAGGCGCAGGGGCATCCCCCGACCACCGCCGGTACGGTGTATGACTCACGCGAACGTACGCACGCATTCGCACGCATAAACGTACACACACGGATGCGCAGGAACGCACACATGTGCTAGCACGCAGGGACAAACGCGCACGCGTACGCGTACAGGGCGACTATGGCTTTATGCACTTATAGATATTACGCTCTGCATGGCTGGATTCTCTCTCTCTCCCCCTTTCTCTCTCTCTCTCTCTCTCTCTCTCTCTCTCTCTCTCTTTATATTTCGTCTCTACCCCTCTCTCTGTCGCTCTCTCCCTACCTCTCTCTCTCCCTTTCTCGCTCGTCTCTACCCCTCTCTCTGTCGCACCTCTTTCCCTACTTCTGTCTCTCTTTCTCTTGTATCTCCCTACCTCTCTCTCTCGCTCTGTTTCTCTCTTTGTCTTCCCCATCTTTCTGTCGCTTGCTCTCTGCTCTCTCTCCATTTCCCTCTCGTCTCTACTCCTCTCTCTGTAGCTTTTTTTCCTACATCTCTTTCCGTCTCTCCCTCTCTCTCCTCTCTCTGCCCTCTCTCTGTCGCTCGCTCTCTCATTTTCTCCCGCACTGTCGTCGTCGACGTCGCTGTGCTTTGTGCGCGCGCGCCATCGGTAGTCGTCAGCGCAGTAATGCGATAATGAAGATGGAAAGGAAACTGCGAAGCGATTCCTGTCTACGGTGTACGCACGCACGCACGCACGCACGCACGCACGCACGCACGAACGCACGCACGCACGCACGCACGGAGACGATGAAGCGTGGTGCGCCGGTTGCGTCCAGAGAGAAAAAAATGAAAGAGAGAGACAGGGAGAGAGAGAGTGCGAAATAGAGATAGAGAGCGCGAAATAGAGATAGAGAGACGGGGAGAGAGAAAAAGAGAGGGGAGAGAAGGACAGGGACTAAAGACGGGGAGAGGGATGGCTTTCACGCATCCATGTCGTGTGCGAACCCGTCTGCTACACGGCCGTGCGCCTAATCACCGATCTCATTAGCTAGCCGACTGCACGTACAAACGTCGTCTATACACGTCTCTACGCGCTCGTGACAGAGACGACGTCGCTGTGTGAACGCAGCGCGGCTAAACCCCGAGTGGTATAGCTTATTAGGTGTCTGACAGTATACGTGATTGCGTGAGATGCTGGTATGATAGCCAACTTATAGTTATGTAAGTAATTGATTACCTAACTGTGAAAAGTTCTTGGTGCGTGAGGGTGGCCGAGTTGGCTGACAAGACTGATGAAGTAGCATACGTGCGGGAGAGATCTTAAGAGTGGAAGCGGGGGTGCTGTGGTGTTAAGATGCGTGTTTAAGAGAAGGAAGCGGATGCGAGCACGCTTCGGGGAAAAAACGAGGAGAGGGTGATAGGATGGAAGCATATTTAGGGGAGAGAGCGGCTTTGAAGGTGTATATGGGGATGTAGGAGAGGAAGAAGAAGGAGGATGAGGAGGAGGAGGAGGAGGAGGAGAAGGTGAAGAAGAAGAAGAAGAAGAAGAAGAAGAAGAAGAAGAAGAGGGGGAACCGTGCTGCGACAACCGAGCACCGGCGGACTATTTCTCTTCTCGCGTCCTGACCGCGTCGTGTTTCCTGATTAACGTCGGCCGTCGCTTGTCGGCCGCCCGTGCGCGCGCGCGGCAAAGTGCTGATTTCCGCGTGGCTTCTGCGGCAGCTGCGGAGTCGGAAGCGGGGCTGCAGCGCCCGCCGCTGCTGATGTGGCAGATCCTCATCATCACCGCTGACGTACGACGCCAGCGCAAACATTTGCTCAGCGCGTCGGCGTCTCTTCGCATAGTATCGGTCAGCTGCTGGTGGCAGCTCGATGTCCCTCTGCGTGCGTGTCTCACACGCTGTCTCTGCGTGTCTCACACGCTGTCTCTGCGTGTCTCACACGCTGTCTCCACTATTCAGAAAACATGATATTGCCTACTTTCGTCACGTCTAGTTAATAGATTCGCTAGACTTGCCTTCCCCTCTCTACACCATACCGAATCCCTGCTCCTCAATCTCTTCCCACCGGATAGGGACCCTTCTCCCTGCTCCATCACCCTCTGCCAGATTCCCTGCGTTCTCCCCTTCCACGATATATACCCTGCTTTCACCCACTCCGGAAGGTAGATTCTTCGCTTCGTCTCCCTCACTTAGATCGATTCCCTGCTGCCTCCACCCATGTCAAATAGACTTTCTGCTCCTCCTTTGTCAATTAGGTTTCCTGCTACTTCCCTCTCCAGGCCGAATCCCTGCTCTATCCACCATCAGATAGAATCCGTTCTTCGTCTCTCTACTCTTCTCACTAAATAGAATCCCTGCTCCCTCCCTCTCCGCCTGACAGATCACGTGCCCCTCCCCCCTGCTACGTTGCGCTGCTGCTGCTGTTGTTGTTGTTGATGGTGATGATGGGGATAATGATGATGATGATGATGATGATGATGATGATGATGCCGCCACTGCTGCTGTTGCTGCTGTTGTTGTTGATGATGATGATAATGATGATGATGCCGCCGCTGCTGCTGCTGTTGCTGCTGTTGATGAAGATGATGATGATGATGCTGCCGCTGCTGTTGCTGCTGTTCGTGCTAGTGCTACTGCTTCCTACATGCACGCCGCGTGTGGCGCTGCCGGCTAGAGGCGAAAGATCACGCAACACAAACCAAATAGTCGTAATCAGATTGGCTAGCATTCTATTCAATCCCTAATGCGGTAATCTAATTCACGTATTTACCTCGGCGCTGCATGTGCGGCCCCGCTCGCCTTGCTTGCCCGAGCCTCACCCCCTGAGTCTCTCCTGCCCACATAAAAGCTTTTTAAATGGAATTATATGATATGATTATATGTAATTATGATGAAATATCGTGGCATTGCGTAATGCAATATATTATGTGTTTCCTACACAACAGTCGGTTTTATCTTTGCGAAAATGTGATTTATTTTTATCTGGGGAATCGGCGGGAGATTGTAGTGATTTTGGCAACTTTCTCTACTTTATTCATCCCATCGGGGAAGTGTGTGCGTGCGTGTAAGTGCCCGCGTGCGTCTGTGCTTTCTTTGAGAACTTGTGGAGATATCGGTCAGCAATTTATTATAGCTTCACCTGCGGGCTGCAATATCGCACGTGCGCTCCTGCCTGCGTTTATGTCGATGTATGCCTACGTAGCATCAGGAGTAAAAAATGGGTTTTATTCGCTCCTGGTAGCATATATATATTATATATATATAATCACCGAAAACGCTGTCAACCCCGCGTAACATGAAAGCGTGCAGCTAAACTATAAATAGAAATACAATATATATATATATATTAATATATATATATTTTTTTAATTATGTATATTTATTTATTTTAATTCATTCATTCATTCATTTATCTGTACGTACGTCTGTATAAGCAAATTACCGAATTAAATACAGATAATTTCGATCTTCCAACGACCTTCCTTACAAAACAAACGTTAAATTATTCACTTTAAGCTCGCCGACGTCTAAACGTCCTCTTGTCTGCACGCGACACTAACCGGCTGTCCTCTTGTTTTGCGCGCAGGTTCATCAACGCCCGGCGGCGGATAGTGCAGCCGATGATCGACCAGTCGAACCGCGCCGGTAAGTCGCCGCTCGTAACGGTGTTTAAGTCCCGCAAGCGTCGCTCCTCCGAGCAGTCGTCCTGTTACTCACCAGGTAAGGACCAGCCAACCCACACAACAAGCGTTCAGCCATCGTTCCTACAACTGCAAACATCCGACGAACCGGCCCGTATCTTGTCGTTAGCAAATATTCAGTGCGTTGTGGGTTTTCACGGTAGTTCGCTACCGGCCGACGCTGACGACGGGCAGGGAACACACCCGCCCGTTCGACGGGGGAGGGGAGGGGCAAAAATGTCTTTCCCGGTTGAAAATGCGAAATTTCTTTCCGCCCAAAAAAATTCGGATTTCCTGGGCAAGAGACAAGATCGAGACGGTGGCGGGGCTGGTCTCGGCGGTCGGTCCTGCGGTGTTTCAATCCGCGCCCTGACGCGTGTACGCCTGAACAGTTGGTTTGGCTGAGCCTTACAGACGCGCGTGTGCCTTCTCCATGTTTTTAATACACACTGTGATTTCTCTCGCTTCAATAACGGCAACACCTCTCTTTCTCTCTATCTCGTTTTATACTAAACTAAAAAACACCTGTGAACTAATGGCTTGACTCGTGTATAGAATGTTTGCAGTAGACCGGGAATGGTGACTAACACGCTAAACTGTTGCTATGGCGCTGCTGCGTCGTGCGCATGCTGTTTATTTATTTAGCACATATATCGTCTAATGTTCGCAAGACGGCGTATTCTTGCTATTGCTATATTTTTCAGCTCGTCTTTTTTTTTCGCCGATGTTCGTAGATCCTCTAATTGTTTCCGAAAAGAAAGCCGTGCATTGGCTGGCTCGCGCTGCAACCGTATTCATTTAAATATTTAATGGCGGCGCTGCCTCACACTGCGTGGCAACATGGTAAATTATTCTCTCTCAGACCACAAATCCACTTAAGTTACTGCATCTTTGGCTTCATAAAACTCAGAGCCCGTGAGCGAGAGACGGGAGCGAAGCGCTATTTAGAGTGTGTGAGATTTTTTCACGTACGTGCGTGATTCATATATTTATATTTATATATGTGTGTGTGTGTAAGTTCGCAGAAATGAGAGAGACAGAAGGGAGAGAGGTAGATAGAGAAATAATGGGCGAGCGGGAGAAAGACAATGTACAGCAGGGGGGAGTGAGTGGAACAGGAAGAGACAGCGATCGAGAGAGCGCGAGAGCAAGACAGATAGAAGGAAAGCGAAAAGAGATTAGATATAATTACGGATATCATTATTCGACCTTTCTTGTGTAACTCACTCGTAAACTATATATGTGTGTGTGCGTGTGCGTGCGCGCGCATGCGTGTGTGCGTGTTATATATATATATATACATATATATATAATTATATATATGAAATATTTGCGGCTGCGTACCTCGGAGCTTTCCAACCTCAAGGCGCGGCGTTTAGAGGTAGTTAGGCGGCCCAGCGGAGGGGGTGACGTCTTACGACGGTCGCTGCGTTTTTGCCGGCCAGCAGCAGGATTCTCAAGTGTTCACGGCCCGTCGGCCATCTTAAACGCGCGTCACCGCCGCGTCACGCGTTGCTTTGAGAGCGTGTGTGCAGGCCGTGAAGTCTGCTGGCCTTTGTCGCGCTGGCAGCAGCCCTGCCGCGCTGTTAAATCACGGGCGACGAGTGCAGGCATGCATTTTTATGTTTATTTTTCATTAGTCTGGGCAACCTCTCTTTTTCCCTCGCCCTCTGTTTTCTATGTGCCTCTTGTCTCTCATCTCTATCTCACTCTCTCGCTCTGTTTCTCTCTCGCCATGTGACCCTCTCTCGCGCGCTCTCTCCCCCTCCCTCTCCCTCTCTCTCTTTGTCCCCCTTTCGCGCTCGTTCTCTCTCTCTGTCTCTCTCCCTCCCACCCTCTCTCTCGTAAAGTCATTCTCTGTCCCGCACACTCTCCCCCTTTCTCTTCCTCTCTTATTCTTCCTAAAATTTCTCTGTGTCCTTATCCTGCGCTATATCTCGCATTTCCTGGCTCTCTCGCTCCGCTCACTTTTTCTACCCCAGCCCCTGTCTCTCTTTCCCCTCCCATTTCCTCTCGCTCGCTCGCTCTCTCTCTCTCTCTCGCGGCTCTCTCTCCCTCTCGCGGCTTTCTTGCCCCCCTCCTCTCTCTTTCTCTCACGGCGGACTGCGCGCTCCGTATATCAACGCGTAACGTGACAGCGACGCGTCGACTAAACGCCAGCAAAGCGGCCGTCTCCGCGCTCGCATTCACGTTCGCCCGTTAATTGCGCCGATAAATGTCGTGGCGGCCATGTTTTATTGGCAGGACCACACCTACGGCGGCCATCCCTCCTCCTTGTCTCCTCTCTCCCGCCGCACCCCCTTCTCCTTTCTTGTCGTCTCTCTCGTCTTTTCTTCTATTCCCTCGCATCGTGAACGGCCATTTAAGTCGCTTATTTATGTGCATTGCTAACAGGCCGTCGCGGAGAGGCAGCTTTCTCTCTCTCTCTCTCTCTCTCTCTCTTCAAGGGTCATTTGCCATGTTTGTTGCCCCGGAAACGCGCGGCTTTAACGCAGACGGATTGACAAATGTTCGGCAGGCAATATGCGTGCGCGCGTGAGTGAGTTATTTGACGTTGATTGCTCATTTGGTCAGCGGGCTTGTCACTCAGCCGTTCGTTTTGCATGAAATACGCGCCTGGTCAGCAGTAAAATCGCTACCGAGAGCCGCGCTAAGTAAACGCGCCTATTATACGTATATATATATATATATATTATATATATATATATATATATATATATATATTTTATATATATATATATATATTATATATATTATAGCCGACGCTATAGTACTGACGCGGCAGTCCGCGCTCGCGCAAGCGGGTAACGCTAACCGGACTGTTGGCGCACGCGCGGCGAACTCGATTGCTATCTCGATATTGGAGGCCTCTGGTGCGTTCGCCCACGCACGCCACTGGCCACGCACGTGCACATACATATAGTATATAATATCCAAGAGCTATAATACCTCTTATTATTAATTATTTATTATTATTATTATTATTATTATATATATATTTTTTTTATATATATATATATATATATATATATATATAGTCACCAGGTAGCGTTCGTGTGCAATCGACGTCTTGCGGACGACGGCCTGTCTCACAGCAGTTTGAATGTCTTGTTATATAGACCCACGTATAGACCGCGTAGCCATTGGTGACAGTCACAGCAGTCGAGCAGATCAATGTCGCAGCCATTCTATCTCGATTCGCTCACATCTCAATTATCTCTCGGGGTGAAAGTAAAAGTCGACAGACATGATGGTTGAGTCGCGCGATAGAGTCGCACGGGGAGGAGAAGAAGAAGAGGAGGAGGAGGAGGAGTGGTGGAGCGAGCGCGGGGAGTCGTGCGTTTGTTTTACGAGCGTGTATGGATCATTCTCAAGTCGCCGTAAAACGATGATATTCTCGAGCTTACGTGCTTGTGACAGGCCGCTAAGGCACTTTCAGAAAATCATTTCGGAGCCATAAACCATGCCGGCCGAGCGGTCGTTACAGACGCACAATTGCCCGTAAAAGCCTCGCCTGCGACGTAGCTACGCCATTGTGCGCGGGGGACGACGTTGCGCCGGCAGCGCGGCCATAAATAACTCACCCTGAGTCACCGCGGGACAAGCAGAATGTTTGGCGCATAGAACTCCTAATGAGCTTTCCTGCGGAAAATCACGCGTCTAGCACGGCGGATGACAATGGGAGAAGGTAAGCGTCAGCACAGAGTGCGAGAGGAATGCGAACATTAAGATGTAGGTGTGCCGTGACCCAGAAACGACCCGTCGCTAAATGATCGTCGCATTGACTCGAGACAAGTGTGCGTCTAGTCCCGCATCATTAACAAGCGAGCAGCACATCTCGTTGCAATAATCACCACTAGATGTCGTCGTCGTCGGCGGTGGAATTGTGGGCGGCTAGATAACTGGAAATGTCGCGTCTTCTCATAAAACCTGATGTTGCTCCTAAGGGCGCGCAGAGGAAGCGCATCAACGTTATTTTTTAAACATTTTTCCTGCCAAATATGTTTGTAACGATACATAGTTAAGCATGAATGAGATTGCAAGTGTCAAATACACGAAATGAATTACTCGAGACATTTAGCGCATGTGACATCACAACACCATCTTCATCTCTCACACTATGCCTTCTAGGTCTTTTCTCAGAATGCAAGCAAGCATGTACGATGTGCGTTTTCAGGACGTAACTGAGAATTAGGTGGAAGGCACTTGATTACGTTGGCTAGGCATGTTTGCTTGGAAGTTTATTTTGATGGATTCATCTCGGTCGATGTTGTTTCTAGTGAGGGCGCGACGGAGTGAGTTCGTTTCTCATAGTACCCCATTAAGTTTTCTCGTGTACGCCTTTTCCTGGGCAGCACTAATGTCTTTGCTAAAATATTGTATTTTCAGTATTAATAATAGCCCGTGGATAGTCCTAGGATCTATCCATATTTGTAGCAGCCACTACCCCCCCCCCCGTCTCCACTCCCCATCTCTCTTTATCTCTCTGTCTCTCTCTCTCTCTCTCTCTCTCTCTCTCT